TGTAGGGTCTGGTCTACGTATACGGCAAAGCCGGGGCTAGGAGCTGATTCGGGCCCCAATTGGGGCGGTCTAAGTACGGGTTAGGGAGCTACGGCGGGCCACTTTTGGTGAGTTTCACGCCTTTTTGGTCCCCAGGACGGAAAATGGGCCCGGCAAACAATGGCGGGAATTGGCGTCCAAATGGAGGGAATTGGCGTCCAAATGGCGGGAATTGGCGTCCGCCCTCTCGAAGGCATTTTCAGACCTCTCCCCAAGGCCTCCCCAACGCTGTTTCAGACCTCCCCGAAGGCCTCCCCAAGGCATTTTCAAACCGATCGAGCGATCTCCCGAAGGCATTTTCAGACCGATCGAGCCCTAGTTTTGGGTAGCCGCAGACCGATCGATCCCTAGTTTTGAGTAGCTGCGATGGATCCGGGGCCCGTGAAGAAGGAGACTAGTGAGGACGACCTTCTGGGTCAACTAGAGGCCAGCTCTAGGCACCCACGATGAAAAAATAAACCCCTGCAAACAAGTTTCCCAGCCTTGCCTGCCACAGGATCTGAAGCGAAGGATGGCGGTGTTGCAGCAGGCGAAGGCTGGTCTCCTTTATAATCCAGGGGCAAATTTAGTTTCTGAATGTGTTTCCTTAAGCTGTAGGGACGAGACCAAACTTGCTATAGGGAAAACTTCGATCCTGACCCTACAAGCCTCACACCCCCTAACCGACCGAAGGCCACCGAATTCGTTCGATAATGTATTTATATGCTGTTTAATATTATAGGGATATGTTTCCGGTGGATAGAAAAAATGGTTCCAATTCAGAAGAAAGGTTTCAGGTTTCGTGTGAACGTCTTCGGGTCCTTGGGCACGTGCTTTCGGATGTATAGTGGGTCTATTTTTAGTATCAAATTCCTAATCTTCCCTTGTTGTGGCTCTCTGTTGGTTTGCTTTCTTCGGGTCCAGGAACACGTGTTTGCTGCTAGCTCTGCTGCCGCTGCTGCTGCGAAACTGCTGCTAAACTGCAACTGCTGCTGCTGCTGAATTGAGCTCGTGAACATACTGTCGCTCGATAAAACTGAAGCCTTATCTGGGCTTGGCACAGGGCCTGTTTCGTTGAGGACGGGCTTCTTTAGGGTTTACGGGTTACGGGTTTAGGGATTTATGCGGTTTATATGCAACACTTCGGTCCTGAAGGCCTGAATTGGCAGGGATGAGGCA